TATTTAGATATTTCATTTTTTTTCCTCTCTCCTCAGGTTGAACAAGATCTAAGAAGACTACGAGATCCACTGGCTTTACACCTTCCCATTACTCCTCCCCTCCCACCTGTCAAAGAATAGTGTGGCAGGGAAACGAAAGCTCTATCCAGATTATCAAATTTTCTTTGACAAAAAAACTGTTGTATATCTGTACATAGTCATGATGTGCGACATTTATTACGTCATCATCAGGAATATTTAGACATATCGCATGATTTTGTCAATTAAAATTTGTCTTAACACTTTCACCGCCAGATGTGTTTAAAAAATAGTATCATCCACCGCCAGCCTTTTTAACGAATTTGACCATTTTTTCAAAGCTCGCTAAGAGTATGTACGTGATCCAATTGACATGTATTATACACTAAAAGCAGGGGGGGGGGGGTGGATCCACACTTTTTCTAACAGGGAGTGGGGATGACAACATATTTAAAAATTTAGATAAGTGTGAGGCCTATTTGAAAATATGCATTGAAATTTTAAAATTTAGTGGCAAACAGTGGGGAGGTGGTAGAAAGCATGTGCCTCCGTGTCCCCTGTATCCGCCCCTACTAAAAGAATGACAAACATCTCACCTTTACACTAGTACCAAACACTTTATTACCCCATAACAGGAAACCTGAAAGTGACTCACTTTTTGGATTTTAAGCTTTTCAGTATCGCCGTGGAACATGAGGTCACTGAGAATAAGTCACATTGAAATAGTGAAAAACATGTGGTCCGGACCGATTTTAACACTTTAGAGAATTTCTAAAAATCCAGACATACCCCCTCTATAAAAAAAAAGAAAATGAAAAAAACTGTGATCTCCGTCAACGGTTGGGATTTAAAAGACGGAGATCGCCATCTTTGGCGGTCAAAGTGCTAAGGACTTAATAATTAATGGTCAAGGGACAACAGAGATGATCAAACATTAGACTCAGGAAACAAACATGCTAATTAGTTATGAGCAGACTATAACTTGTGTCCTACTTCCGAGTGGCTAGGAAGATGATGCAGTCAAGTGCAACAAATGTTGGAGGTTTATTTCCTGTTCTTCTCAACAGTTGAACTATATTTACTGTTGAACTCTATATAATAGTATTGCAATCTGATTGACAGCTTATCTTTCTAATTAAATTAATATTGTTTAATTTTGGTAGAACAGACTCTGTACCTTATTTTATTTGAGGGTCTCTTGCAACCCTTTCTCAGAGAAACATTGCTCTTAGAGATGAAAACAGTTTATTAATCTTAATTTATTTTTCTCTTTTTGTTTCATAGTTACTGTAAATTTAATTTAGAGTAAAAAATGAAAATGGAATATTCCAATGAAAATAGTATTTTTGTTTTTTTCATATTTGATAAACCATTCCTTGGCCTTGAAGTAAATATTACTTTATGATTATTAATCTGAAGTTTAAATATTTCATATTTAATTCTTGATATTATGCAAATCAGTAATGTTTACAAGTATAGATAAAAATACTGATGTACGCCAATTGTAATGATTGATTGATTGATCAATCAACCAACCATTAAGTCATATGCCCTATGTATGAGATACCATATATTTCCTTTATTAAGATGTACATTTATTAAGTATTTGTAATTTAACTTGTATATGTAATAAATAGATCATTATGTATGTATTCTTATTTAGAAGATATTATCAATCTAAATAAATTTCTTATTATAGTAAATAAATTGTGGTGGGAATTTTTAGGTGAGTTTGATAATGAGGGAAACTGATGTTTTTAATATGTATTTTGTAATGTATTGTATTGCTAAAAGCCAAGAAAGCCTAAAAGTTCTTTTTATCTATGTAATATTCTCCCAACTTATGTGATTTATTTACACAAGATATCCTTATTAATTTTAACAGTCTGTTAATGCTTACAGCCAATCTGGTTGTTTAAATTTTTAGCAGGGTTGTTCATAGATTTGAACACAAGTGCCTCCCTCTTTAATAAAGGATGAAGGATAAGTATGGTACATGACTTGCATAACTTCACTGTGTGAGGAAATATAATTTAGTTAATTTGCATAATAATTTGCATAAAAAATAACTTGTACTAAGATAATCGATATGTGCCTTTTGTATTTATAATTTAGTATGATGAAATATCAAGATATTGTTATTTGCAAATAAATTATTGAAATTCATTTGTCTTAGTCGTTTGTTGAAATTAGGGTAAATTTTTAAATCAAAATTTGCATTGAAATTTAGAATTAGCTATTAAACAATCATTGTTTTTAAGGCTGAGCCTGCAAATAAAAAACAATGATTGGGATTGGATGCAAAAATATGGTTACAAGGTATCTCATGGACCCTTAATTTTTGTGTTTAACCTCCATCCTATCCATGGCCTCTACATGAGTACTATATACATCTACTCTACATGTGAATGTTTAATAGAATTTCAGAAAAGTATTATATAATAAAAAATTGTAGTAAGAATGTTGTTTATAGGTAGTATACTAATCTAAATCTTAAGAATACATTATTACTGTATTTGAAGTTAAAATATATTTGTCCCTTTACTGTGTTGCAAAGGGTGTCACAATAATCCTACTAAATAAATGGAAAAGCAACTTACTTCACACTTTACTATGTATTATGCAAAATTATTAGGTATTAACTCCTATACATTTACCAAACCACTATACAGTGTTATTTTATTATAATCTAGGTTTTCAGCTCCAATGAGGAGCTCTAGAAACACTCGACTGATTGATTAATAGATCTTTTTTAGTCCTACTCTATTATACAGCCTTCATGAGGCTGATTTATTAATAGTTGACTGATTAATAGATATATTTTAGCTCTACTGCCTCTATTATACTGCCCTCATGGAGAAGCTCTAGAAACACTTGGTTGATCAATAGTTGATTGATTAATAGTCTCTTTTAGATCTACTGCCTTTATTATACTGCCCTCATCGGAGCTTTTGAGATTACAAGAACTTGTTTTCAATAGGAGCATTAACCTTGAGAACTTGCTTTTATTTGAAGATGTAGTTTAGTTGATTGAATGTGATGCTGTTTTTGATTATTCAATGCATAGTTAACAATACACTATGCATTTATTAACTGAATAAATAATTGTTAATTAACAATTGAACCATTATGTAATAACGGAGTACTTTATGTAATAATTTCATGAATTTCAATGTCAGAGCCGCTATTAAGTTTCACACAGCATAACAAACTGGTCACACAAAAACAAAGAGACCTGACACTTGTTTGAGTATACGAATTGTGTGTCCCAGTAGTAGAATATCAAGTAGTAGAATATCAGAAGTTCTAAGACTTAGTGCAGGGGCTTATTTTAATTTGCAATTCATGTTAATTTTATGGCACCAATGCTTTTCCAACTCAGAATTTTATACTGCACTAGAAAAACGTTGGAGCCAATTATCTAGCCGCCATTTTGGAAAACAAGACATCGGACGCACCTGATCAAACATAATATTATGTGGTACCACTGGAAAGGAAATCATGCACTGAATATTTTTTTTCCCATTACACTGATATAAAAAAATGCATAGTATTAAATGGCGATATTCGCTGTTAAACTGTTTGCTACCCTCTGTTGGTGAAAAGTTCATTTTCATGAAGCAGATCACCAATTAAAATAAATTGCAAGCACAATTGGAATACACCCAGCAGGGAGTGGAAGAGGTAGCACTTTGTGTCCGTTTTCCAAATTATGGATCCATGACCAAATTTAAAACATTGCCAGCCTCTTGCATACCTATAGGCAAAAAATGCGCGGTATTAATCTCTTTACTATTAATTACAGTATAAAAATAGTTCAGTTTTCTGACCTTCTAATATTTGGTAGCCTGATTTTGATTGGTACTAGTACCGCTGTTATATAGTTTGTAGTAAATTTGTTCTCCAGAGGCTTTCACATGTATAATTCTGTCCTTAATCTTGATTGGTATCGGTACCTTATAAATCAGAGATATTTGTACAGACAGATGTATCAATAATATTTTTATGTACAATATATTTATTTCCATAACTTCAACTTTCATTTAATCTGTTGATTCTATATTTATGAAATAAACATATAGGCCTACCAAAGATAACAGTAATGATAATTATGATTCCATCATAATGTAGGAAATTTTTAAATCCATTGGCACTACAAAAGAAATGGAAAACCTCTTAATAATAAATTACAAAAAATAAGACTGATAATTAAAAATACATTATATACAAACAGTAAATAGTTACAATAAATCACAAGTCACGAAATTAAATACATTTAGTTTAGAAAAAAATATATACACGTATAATACCGTATTTATTTGATTAACGCTCTTATTGTCAAGAAGCTTTTTTGAGGGTGAGTGAGTTTATTTGAGGGAGTTTATTATCTCTAGGTCCCTGGCTCAATTCCCATCGTTGCTCTCCTTGTGTTTCAGCTGGAGGGCTGAAATGCAAGTTACAATAGCGAATATCTTTCGGTTTAAGCTGTTGGTCCTGTGTTCATCATGGCAAATGTGCACGTTAAAGAACGCAGTACACACTCTAAAAAAGAGTAGAGGATTGTTTCCTGTTGTACTGCCCAATCACCATCAGAAGGACCCCAGTGGAATTAAGTCTTCTTCTGGACTTCGTGGGTTATCCTTGGTGTTTACACCGAATAAATCCATCCATCCATCATACATGCATATAATAGTGCATACTCTTACATTATTCTATTCTTCGATACACACAGAATTTTAGAAACAGTACAGTGGAAAGAATTTCATTTAGTAATATAATAAGTAATTTAGGAGGAACAGTATCAGGTGAATAGGAGCGGTACAATAAGATATATTTCTACTAATACTATAATTTGCTGTCTAAGATATGAATATTTCACCAGGTGGTTCTATCAATCTAAATACTACTCCTGAGTAATTACATCAATCTAATTAAATATTGAGATCAAATATCAAACATAATGTGCATATGTGACAGTGTGCCAGGTTGTAGAGTGCATTGAAACTTTGCATTGTCACACTATAAAAAGTATAACTTACCACTATTATACAACAATTGCAATAACTACTACTCTTCACTTTAAATAAATTTATAATATGAAAATTATATATACTGTATACACAATTGAGCTGAGAGCCAGCAGTTTTGATAACTGTGTACGCCTATTGCTTCCGCATGTATTCAGTGGCAGAATCAGCAGGGGTCTGGGAAATTCCCTGTAGACAACTATGGACTCCTTGTCGTCTGATGCCACCCATGAAGTGAATATTAATATCAATTTGTTTAAAAAAAATGTTATTTTGATTGGCAATCAAATTGTGGTCACATTTTGGGGAAATTCTAAATCATAAATTTCTCCCCATGTACACTATCACAAATTTTATTCTGGGACCTTGGGTATACCTGGCCCACTTGATTTGGACCCCTGTTGGACTTGCTGGACACCTGTCGGCACATTTCTAAAGCCATCACTGCATGCCGTATATATACATGTACACACACATAAACATGCCTGCAAATATACAGTGAACCCAAGTGGCGAGCGGGGAAGACCTTGAAAGACAATTACCCTACTCTTTTGAAGTTCGCTATCATACACACACAATACAGCAATTAATGTTTAGGCTCCATTTCAAATTTAATTAATACCATTATTTATTAATCATCATTGGGAAAAATTGCTTTGTTATTTTGTAATGGAATGTATCAAATTGCTATAATTACTAAATGATTTATATACAAACTAAACTAATTGTTTATAAAAAACAAATTATTTTAATAGATTTATTTTTAATATAATACTTTTTGTTATTTGATGACTAAAGTTAATGTTATTTAGCAGCATTTTTAGTTTTGAATCCAGAAGACACGGAACAAGGTGTGTTGCGTTATGGAGAGTAATGTGTGACTGGAAATGGTCTGCCAGTTGGTTGTTACCATGCGCCAGTGTGTTGGAGTACAGCAAGATGAAACTATGTAATGCATGAATAAAGTTGGGGGTTTGTCGGGTAGTGAAATGATTATTGTACATTTTAAGTGCTCCCTCCATGCATAAGTGTAAGCTAAATTACAGTGGTTAATGAGCGAAGATGTGGTGACAACTATTACAAATTTCCCTCTTTTCAAGAGGGGATGCAAATGCTTTGTGAAAATGAGTACGCGGCGGCCTGCGGTACTCATTTTCACAAAGGAATACACTCAGCTGGTTAGCTAAGAATAGGCCTATGCAAATTTACATGAACACCTGGTAAGAAAGGTGCAATCACGTTCTGTTGCCTAGCAAACGTCTGTACTGTAGCGTGGGGCTAGCCTACTGATGTACTGTGTATTACTCCGGTGGCTTATGTCATCCCGTGGGAATTTCGTGATCATTTTGTTTTTGTTTTTTAATTATATACATTGAAGTATGCTGAATCGAATAAAATGAGTCGCCAATTTTTTTACGCTCATCTTCATATGCAAATTAGCTGAAATATGCAAATTAGGTCTGAAAATGTAGGGTACTTATATCTTGGTAACCACATGTCGTAGTTGCTTCTTTCTTAAAGTTGTTCAGAACATGCATGTTTCTATTTACCCTAATGGAACATTTTCTTCAAAAATGACCGGAAGTGCCATTTTGCCGACCTTATTAGCATAAATATGCAAATTAAGGGTGGAAATATAGGGAGCTATATCTTGAAAACCACTGGTCGTACAGAGTTGCTTTTTGCTGCAAAATGTTTAAAACATGCATATTTATATTTACTATAATGGACAATTTTCTCTAGAAATGACCGGAAATTGCG